CTGGTAGAGTTTCACTGAACAAAACACAAAACAGTAGTCAGTGGGACCCAAACACTTCAACTTTGGTAAACAGAACCTGGGTGGCCTTGATTAATCCTGAGACCGGTGATCCCAGTGGATGGAGAGAGAGAGAGAGAGAAAGACAGACAGAGAGACAGAGGTAGAGAGGAAATCAACAGGCTATGTGAGACGCAATAATCCTCCACGGCTGCCAACAAAAGAAAATCCACATGTACAGGCAAGGCAGCAACACACTGACACACAATACCTCAGCGAGGCAATCACTCAACACCTAATCTACTCTCCCATTTATTTGTCACGCATCTACTCACCGAAAGTCCACAGTAAAACTTCAAACAGGCAAGAGAATGGTATTGGAGTGAAGTCAGTCGACTCCACTGTAAAATGAGTTGAAGTCTTTTAATGTTTTGCCAGAAGACCTGAGGTTATAATATGCCTCCATTCCAAAACAATGACTGTCTGTCTGAGTGGTCGCTCATGATCACCTACCCCCACATGGCTTGGCTTTAAGGTCTTGCAGTGGTTGTGCGTGTGTGTGTGTGTGTGTGTGTGTGTGTGTGTACGAGATTCCTGAATGCGTGCAAACCTACTCAGTCCTCATTAACCCAGACCCTCACTGCCAAGTCTCTTTTCACTCAAACCAGGGAGACATTGTCCTCTTTTGGCAAAGTAACACGGTCATTGTAGCTTAACAAAAGTTGTGAGTTCAGCTTTTCTGTGGTGAGAAAAAAAAAGAAGAAAAGAAATAAGGTTTCTGAAAAGTGAAAAAGTGTGCAGGAGTAATTGGCAACAGGTCCTCCCACAGAGCTGTTTTTTCCCCTTCTCTTCTTTTACAACCAGCTTGTTGCTGTTACGGACTTTAGCTTCTCCCTCTATTTGGGAGCGTTGCTATGGCAGCGGAGGCCCACATTTTTCATGCACAGGGCGAAAAATGAGATAGAGAGACCGGATAAGGGAAAGAGGGAAAAGGAAGTAAGTAAGAAAGAGAAAGAGTGAGTGAAAAGGTGAATGAGTGAGTTGTGTGTGTGTGTGTGTGTGTGTGTGTGTGTGTGTGTGTGTGTGTGTGACAGTCTGACAGCAGATAGTTTGGCTCTTTAGCATCTCAAAGCATCTGGCCGCAATTCCAACGTGAGAGGCTGCTGGAGAAGTGGGGTGACCGAAGCCTCGACTCTGTTTCTCTATCACACAAACACACACACACACACACACACACACACACACACACACACACACACA